AGAAAGTTTAAATAAATGGCCGAATTTCTTTTGTTTCTTTCCTCTTTTTCCATGTTTAATCTTTTTCTACGTTTTTAATTTCTCTGCCGGGAACACAAAATAACAAGGATATTCCCCCTAGAATCAAATGCCGCGAAAAATAAAGAAATTAAGGGATATTATATTTTTCCTTCCTCCCCTTTTGGCCTTGATCCCTTTTCCCCATCTTTAATTGTGGTACTAATATGGGCAAAAATTTGAGGCTTCATTTCGGCCCTGGTCGCGCCTAGTGGGGCCACTCATCTCGTCGTCTTTGAGGGTTGCTCGTAAAGTTCAGCGCGCCCAAAATCAGGGGTGCCCTGAGCTCCCCTAATTTTTGCTGCCTGGTCAACCCGGAGCACCGTCAAAACACGGACTTGTCTTTGAGCCTAAGACCCAAAACCCCAGATTTCAGGCGGCGCACTGCTTGTGGCCGCCTGACACCGGTTCTACAGGATGTTCGTAAAAACTGAGCAAGGTGAGCAAGTAGGGAGAGACCTGTTCATTGACGGACTCCGCAATCGAACAATAAGGACTAAGTTGCGAAAGCAGTTTTCCCCCATCACTCATACGCTACAACAAATTATGGCTGCCGCGGAAGAAATGGAACGGAAGTTCACAGTGAACTTCCTGGAAGGAGAAGACTATCCTAGAGACGGGGACTTGACCGAGCTCGTAATAGCGAGAGCAAAACTGGCTGCTTTGCAGAACAAATTTGAAAATATGGGATTTGTATCAGGACCTGTCACTTATATGGAACGGATAGGCCCCAAACGAGTAATCCTAAGCGAGACTTCGAGCATCTCTGCTCCTATGATGGCCCCGCCCGTCAGGGCATTACCCCCACCGCCGGTTGAGGCTCCCCTACGATCGAACGAATCCGCGGCCATTTTCGAACTGACCAAGACTTTGATTAGTTTGATCCAAGAAAGCAAAAAGGAACAGCGAGAGCACAATGCTCGACTGGAAGCCATGATGAGGAACATGCGACCTATTGCGGTGCGTGCCCCTCCGATGCAACAAGGATTAGCCCCTGCCCCGGCTCTCGGAGGAGCTGCGAACAATCTGAATGTCTGTTATGCCTGTCATGAACCCGGACATCTAGCCCGTGATTGCCCCCACCGACCCCCGCAGCAGCGGATCGGAGTCGCACCTATGGCTGCGGCCCCCATCACCAATGGACCTGGACGAGTCGGAGCCTTGATGGAAGAAGTAGAGGGTGGGGGAAGTGCCTTGGCCACCACGGAAGAGGCCGCCGAGCTAATTCCGCTAGATCAGTATGTGTTGCTGGGATATCCTGGACTAGGAATGATCGAAACAATCAGACCAGCACCAAAACCGAAAGAAGTGGCGGAGTGGCGTCCGTCCTTAGGAGAAATGGAGTCGGGAGGACCCACCTTCGTCACAGGAGAAATCGATGTATTACACATTATCCGAGCTTTGGACCATCGGATTCCACTACCGATCGGTCATCTACTCTCGATCTTTGAGCAAGCCAATGAGCGAATGCTACAGCATTGCAAAGCAAACCGAAAGCGATTTGCCCTTGCCCGAACACCAAGTGCCAAACTCAAGGGACCCGCGCCGGAAGAAAACCCAACAAGCACTCCGGACCCAATACGGGTGGGATTAATTCAGAAAGACGATCACTTCTTACAGATTAAACCGATTCCGTGGAAGTCCGCGGAATGTGATATTGAAATTTGGGGAATTCCTTACAATGCGATAATAGATTCAGGAGCAGCTGTGTTGGCTATCTCACTAAGAGTGGTCGAAAGGGCCGGTAGGAAAAACGACCTAATCATGCTCACCGAGAAAGATCAGCTCGTTTCGGCAGATGAGGCAAAGATTAAAACTGTGGGGAGAATGACCAATGTCGCCTTCCGATTAGGAAAAATACACGCGCTTGGGGATGTCGTAGTACGAGATGTTAGTACGTATGATGTTTTTTTCGGACTTCCTGCCCTTGTGGCGTTACGAGCAAACTTGGATTTCGAACGACAAGCGATCGTCCTCCGAAATACAGGAGGAAAACCCTACGCTGTGCCCATGCGATTGACCCTTCGCACTGCTATTAACGCGGTTCCGCGGGTTTCGCCAATGATGGCAGGGACTCTCCGCATGATCTCCTGGGACGAACCTGCAGAAGGGGAGCCATCAACTGATGATGCGGAAAGCAGTGACGAAGATGATCCGAAAATCTTGAAATTGGTATGACAACGCGTTTATTACCCGCCGCCCAAAACGATAGCGAGAACGATGCAACTGACTAGCCGAAAAATTCAAAGGACCAAGGCGATGATCTTGGGAGAGCCCCTTGTACAAATTTCGAGGATGGTCGACTCTTTGGAAACCCCTCAAACCCTGTACGAAGGCATCACCCCTCTCCTCGCCAGGTACAGCGACAAAAAGCATTTTTGCGACATTACGGAACTACCTAGGTCTATACTAACATCGGTTAAAGAAGTGAGATTGTTGCGCTTGGGGGCGGAAGCAAGCTCTTTGGAACCCCCTGGGCGTTTTGAAGCAGAAACAAACGGACTGGGGATAAAAATCGCAACTAAGGAAGTGCCGTGGCAGGATGTTTGTGACGGGATTACCCCGGAAGGACACGTGGCAATCCGAGAAGAAGATGCTCAGATGATGGCCACGGTGTTCTCCTGGCGATCGGATCATTCATTCATCTCGGCGCCTCCACCCGATTCGAACAAAACAGGCGAACACGAAACAGATTGCCGTGCGGATCTGGGACCAACCTTTCAAACTGCACGTTCCACAATATGTGCCGGATGAAATCCACCGGGTAATTGCTGATATTCTAATGGAATACCAAGGAGCAATTAGTGTGTCAGACACTGACATCGGGCTGTCGTTAGTAATCCAACATGAAATTCAAACAGGAAATCACCCCCCAATTCATTGCAAACCTTATCGCTATTCCTTGATTGAACGCAGAAAGGCTCTCGAACGAATTCGGGAGTTCGAGGCCAGTGGTTGGATTGAACCTGCTACCGGACCTTGGTCCTTTCCTGTAGTATGAGTGCCGAGGAAAAACGGGGCGATTCGCATTTGCATTGATTATCGCAAGCTGAATGAAATCACGATCAAAGATGTGTATCCCCTCCCCCGGATTGATGATCTGTGCGCTAATTATTTCAGCAAGTTTGATATTCGACATGGCTTCCATCATATTCTGGTAAGGGAAGAAGATCGACCGAAAACGGCCTTTGTGTTGTTTGAGGGCACGTGGCAGTGGGTTCGATGCCCGATGGGGATTTGCAATGCGCCTGCCACGTTTCAACGAGCAATGAACATGACGTTCCAGAATTTCGTCAACAAAACACGGCTAACGCAAGGGATGATTAACTTCTGCGTGATCGTGTACATGGACGATATCCTGGTCTATTCGAAAACCTATCACGGGCACGCGCAACATATTGAATGGACATTGGGCGCGCTGAGAGACGCTGGGTTCAAAATTGCGCTTGAGAAGAGCGAATTTTTCCTCTCGGAAATTTCGTTCTTGGGTTATGGTTATGTCGTGACACGTGGAGGACTGCGGCCAGACTCGAGAAAAGTTGCGGCGGTAAAGGAAGCTCCGGTTCCCACGTCACTAACGCAGGTTCGAGCCTTCTTGGGACTAGCGTCGTATTACCGGTGCTTCATCAAGGGCTTTGCCGCGATTGCACGACCACTGACGAATCTGTTACGGAAGGACCAGCCCCTCAATTGGGACGCGGAGTGCCAGCAGGCCTTTGCAATCCTTAAAGACGCTCTGGCAATGGCCCCTATTCTGATTCGACCGGACCCCTCGAAGCAGTACATTCTCATCACGGACTGGCAACCGGAAACTATTTCCGCTATTTTAGCGCAGAAGGGGAACGACGGTCGCGAACACGTCATCGAGTACGCGTCTCGAACCATACCGGACGAACGAAGAAACGACTCCGCACCTCAAGGCGAGTGCTATGTGGTAGTTTGGGGAATCCAGCACTTCCATCCGTATCTCTACGGACAAAAGTTTCTCCTCGTAACGGATCACGAGCCTCTGCTGGCGTTGAAGAAGCTCACCAACTACACGGGCATGATTGGCCGTTGGGCGGTGCGATTGCAAGAATACGACTTCGATATCGTCCATCGAAAGACAGAGCGACACGGCAACGTGGACGGGTTGACACGTCTGCACCGACCTGTCAAGGTACCAAAGGGCGAGGAAATTACACCGTGGAAGGAGTCGGACCTGACCAATGAGCCTAAATACGGACAAGTGGCAGTCCTCCCACGTGGCAAGAAGCCAAACAGTGGCGATGGGTGACGAAGGTAACCCCACTACCCCTCTCTCCCCCCCTTCCTCTTCGTCTCTCCTCTCCCTGCCTGACAAATTTTGCTATTTTTGCGAAGCCATCTCCCGCGTATACTCGGTCTCCACGTGTCCTAACGGAGAAGGGTATGTCGATTGGATAGATTGTCGACAGTGCGTCGCACGAGCCCATGGCTCGTGCATCCAATACAGAAACGATAATAAACCGTGGTTGTGCCCCTTGTGCCGGACCAACAAGATTCCGACCGAGGCTCGCTTTTTGGATGCCACGTCAGAAGGATTGGAAAAGACTCGGAAGTTTAGAAGGGCTGAAGTATGGACGGATATTGCCTTGATTGCCACCCTAGTAGGTAACCCCCTCCAGGATCTCACTAAGGAAGATCGGAGGAGGGCCAACGAAAGGGCTCGGGATTATCAATGGATAGAGGGTAGATTAGAAAAACAGAAAACGGATGGTAGTGGGATTTGGATGGTAGTGCCGCATCCGTTCATGCGATACGACTGGGTTAAGACAGCCCACGAGGAAACTGCGGCTCATTTTGCCGTACGAATCACGGAGTCCACTATCGACAAAAATGAGTGGTATTGGTCCAATACCCGCGACGATGTGAAATACATTGTCGCCAACTGTCAGGTCTGCGCCGCTGACAAGGCGCCGATTCAGCCGCCAAGATCGATAGTGCCCACGGTTGTTGAACGACCATTTCAAAGAGTGAGCATGGACACTACCGACATAGTGGTGCCCCCTGGCCCTAATAGCTGCGAATATTCAATCCTATTGGTATTTGTCGACCATTTCTCGAAATGGATCGAAGCGTATCCTTGTTGCACGCGGCAAGCCACGGAAATAGCGCGATATGTCAACCGTTTCCTCGGGATGCATCAGGATACAAAAGAGATCCTGACCGACAACGGGGCTGAATTCAGAGGAGAAGTGTTAAAGAGTCTAGTCATACATGGCGTCGCCATACTGAACACCGCACCCCACATGTCACAATCCAATGGGCTGGTCAAAAACGCCAACCGGGTGATAAAGACCACATTGCGACGAAATATCGCGGCTCGGGATCCGAGGCCCTGGCCCGACATCGTCGATCACATCCTGGCGGTCCATCGCGGAACGCCTCACGAATCAACGGGGCGGAGCCCCTTCCAATTAAGGACCAATAGCATCGCTTGCGTTTCAATACCAAACCTCCCGGACGAGTCTACATTGAACCGACGGCCCACCAGGGCCACGGCTAGGGACAAGGCCAAACGACACCTAGAGCTAATGGAACAGTCCCTGCCCAGGCTAGCTCGAAAACGACAGAAAATGACCGAACTAGCCCAAGGCCGACAGATCCGGAGCTATGAGGCCCGAAATGGGAATGCGGGTCCACATCCCCAGTACAAATTGGGGGACGTGGTGCAGGTGAGGAAATGTGCTCGCCAGGGTAAGCTAGCGCCACGATTCTTCGGGCGATATCGCGTGATCGAGCCCGGCCCCAACGGCGTGGACACTGTGCGTCTCGCCCCGGAAGCCTCTGGCAGCCGATCGGCCCGCCCGATCACACGCCACGTATACTACCTCTGTCCCCTTCCTCCTTCTCCATCTTCGCCTCCATCCGATTCCTCCTCCTCTGATAGGGAAGGCGGCGACTGTCTCTCTCCTATTTCTCTGTCTCCTTCCTATTCTCTCTCTCTTACCCCGACACCATCACCATGAGCTTTGCGACGGAGCAAGTGATCGGCGCGCGGCTTCTTACTCCGCGGGGGCGAATCAGTGTCATACGGCAAGTGCAGCGGCCCCATCTCTGCTCAGATCTCCTCCGGTTTGCAGCTTTCTTCAATACAACGGCGATCTACGCGGCGACAGAGTTCCGATTCGCAGAAGAAGCAACTACGCGCGTTCTGGCCGAGATCTCGGCCTTTCGACGACTATCCCCTCCCGGGATTAGCCATATCGCTGTCGTTGTGGTCTTTACGGGGGATATCACAGCGATTCCGTCGGCGAATCACTCCGACATCTATCGGACGTTGCGCACTTGGGCTGGGGAAGTGAGGACGGCGTGGACGGATCTTCTGGCTCGACGAGGAGATACCATCGTACCGGCGCATGACACGGACCTCCAGCTCCGCTTGTCTCGAAGTTCGCCGACGATCGCGCTTCCGGAGCTTCGTTCCTTCGAGCCGCCCCAATGAGTCTTCGTCGCGTCTCCTATTTCAGCCTCCCCTCCAGCATCCCCACCCTTTGGCAGTCTGCGCGGGCTCCCACCCTCTCTTACCGTGTTAAGGAGAACAGTACCCCGCTATTGAGTGAGGAGAAGTGGGACGCGTGGTGGGAGAACTATATCGAGCTCGCTTTCTGCCTACTGGAGATAGAGTTCCGCTGGTCAGAGGCGGCCCCATTTGGAGAAGGGCCGGAGCACCCAGAAGACAGTGTGGAGTTTCTGATCATCCAAGCCTGGGGGACAGCGGAACAGGGCGACCTGCTGGGATTCCTGTTCGGGAAGGGGGAGCAGGGCAATCTCACCTTGATCACGGACGAATTGCTGGTGTTTTTGACTCAGCTGGCGGATGATCTGCCCCTGGACATCTTGTCGCACAGTGACAAGCAGCCTGGCACCCACGTGCTGTCTCGAACGCTCGAGCTGCACCTTGTGTGGTCCACGTGCACAAAAATCGACGAGGACAATTGTCTCTATCCCTCCCAGGGGCTCTACTAGGAGATCGACGTTACCGATCTCACGTGTTGGGACCCGATTGCGAGACAAAACGTGTCACAGGACGAGGAGGTAAGGAGAGCAGACGAAGAAGAGGAAGAAGAAGAGCCATCGAGTGAGGAAAGGGACGATCCGGACTACGTACCGGATAGAGAGGCAGGGATAGCCGGCGAATCAAACCAGCCGCAGGCGCAGGACAAGGGGGGGGAACTAGAAGAAGAAGAAGGAAGCGGGCTATCAGGATCGGAGTGCGAAGGATTCGAGGCTGAAGTGCGCGACGCGGCTCGAAAACGAGCGCGAGAGCGGAGGAAACGGAAGCGTCGGAAAACCGCGGAGGGAAAGCAACCCGCAACAGACGTGTCCTCTGTCGATCCGTCGATCGGAGACCCCGTGGCGTGATCCAGAGCCGCCAGAAGAGGAAGACGATGGAACCACAGCAGAGGGATCACGGAGCCGAAGAAGAAGAAGTGAGTCGCCATCTCCCTCCGCTCCCTGTCCCGATCCTCCCTTCGTCTACATCAAGATCTCGGCGTTCGGGCTTCGTCCCCGGTCGTTCTCTCGCCGACCCCGTGACTACCTCATGCTCACCCGCCTCCCCCACAGACCCCCGTTCCCCAATGGATGGTGTCCGTTCCCCCATCACCTTTTCTACCATCTCTACGCTACCCGCCTTCTAGTCTCCGTCTATCCACACGTCACCACTCGCTCTGTGGTTGATTCCTTTCTCCTTCATGTGGTCCTGTTTAGCGCAGACTGGCGGGAATATAACCACGTAGAAGTATACTGTATTGTGTCAGGGACTATTCCTGCCTGCGAAAATTATGAAGATTTTCGCACCGCCCTGCGACGGACCCTCTCCACCATCTACCCCGATTATATTGCCGCTTTTCGTCATCTTCATGAGGTCCCTCGTTTCCCCTGCATCCATCGCTTTTTCCACTACGCCACCCTTCCTAATTTCGCATCTCCCGCCATCAACCGCTTCATGCCCCCTCTTCCCCTGAACCATCCGCCACCTCCACCCTCGATGATCCGGCTGCCATTCCCCGGGAACATCTCAGGTTTAGGATCTACCCTCCTGTTACATTGATGCATGGTTGATGGCGCGTGTCGCGGTAACGGCACGAGAAAAATCCCGTCCTTGGCCTGTCGAGAGCCCAATCTGAGGAAGTAGTAGAAGAGCAAAGTTGCCACGTTGGATGACGTCCGCACGCAATCGAACGGTAAGTGGCATAAAGAGAAGTGCTCCGCGTGACGATCGATTAGAGAAATCGACACGTGTCAACAAGCAAGCAGGAGCTTGCTAATATTGGAACCCCCTGGGCGTCACATATGTGACGAACCACTTTCTGTAACGCGCGAGTTTCTGCGCGGTTGCAACGAGGGGTCCTAAGCTGGGAAAATTGGGCCAATCACAGGAAATCGGGATCGGTGGAAAATTGCATCAGTACCCTTGCTTCTTCGTCTTTTTCGTCGCTTCTTCGGGGCTGGGTGTGTCCTGGGACGGCCGATGGATTGATTGGCCGGATAGTTGTTTGGCGCGACGCCACCCGCGCGCGCGATTAATATCGGCGTCGTTTCTTTTAAGTTTGGTTTTCGATCTTTTGGGCACGGACATCGCGCGGGAAATTGCTTCGTTCTTTTTTTTTTAATTCCTCTTGGATCTTTTTCGAATTTTGTCGAGCCCCTAATGGCTCTCGGAATTTCAGACTTTCCTTCCGAATTCGTGTTTCTTTTTTGCTTTCTCGCATTAGATAGGAATTTAGGAATTTAGTAATTAGGATTTTCCCTGCCGATCGGCGCCTTTTGTTTACGCGCTTCTTCATGCGGCTGCAACGGAACTCTGATTAGCAGGCGCCCTTATCGTGTGTAACTGTAATTTTGGGCGGACGCCATTGTAACTGTATCTCTCTTCTTGCACTTCGTCTCTCCCGCCCTCCCTCTCTTCCTTTTGCTGAAATTTTGTAAGCCGCGGCTTGCATGCTCGGATCAATGTGGAGAAGGGTTACGTCCCCCATGCCGCGGCCGATCATGCAGAACGCAGGCGTTCTCTCTCTAATCCTCACTCTAAGTCCTGGTAATTCCGTGTTCTTCGTGCATGCATGCACGCTATAAATTTCGTCTGCGCGATTAGTCAGCTCTCTTAACCCGTTGTTGGAAGCTCGGGGTTGTGCGATCAGGAAGGGTCGGCAAACGAGCGAAGTAAGAGGTGAGTAGAGTAGGAGTTGGGCGACCCGACGGGCTGGTGCCGAACGCGCGGGATGGACGTGGGCCACGACGGACTATGGGCACGGGCGAATCCGACGGGTGCGGGAGGACTAAGCGGGGTGACAACTTCGTGGGTTGGTGCATGACGACGGACTGTCCGCATCGGAGAGAGAGAGAGGAAGAGAGAGTTGAGGATGATGGACGTGGATTTGCGGTTTCTTTGTCTCTTCCCCCTCTTCACCTATGTACATACATTTTGATTACGGCTCCGGGCGGTTTGCCCGTCCTTATTTCCGTTTTCGGCTTTCTGAATTATGGGCTTGGGTTTTTGCTCACACTCGTCTTTGCTATGTTCGTCCCGATTGCATTATGCGTATGAATATCGAACGAATGGATGTACGAATGTGTGGATGCGTGGACGTTATGCCTGTTGGTATATCTTTTTGTTGAGAATCCCTGTCCTTGCTCTTTGTTTGTGTCGAATCTTTGCCCACACCTGATGCAGCTGTAGATGGGATAGGAATCTGGTCCCGATAGTGATTTTGTTCTCGTTTTTGCTTATCTCACGATGAGGGTTGTGATGTGGTCGCATCTTGCATAATCCAAACGATCAGAGACCTGGCTCTGCGAACGGCGCGTGAGAACACGTGTAAATGCGATCCTAGTCGCGCCCTTACACGCATTCTTGAACATCGATCCGCCCACCCAAAAAGATTCGAGGCCAAACCGTCATCCCGTACGAACACGCTGAGGCGTCACTGAGTCTGCCTGTCCTGCAGGTGTTCGTGCGCGGTGACGATATCCCGACCTAAGCTATCCTATCGACGATGATACCATGACGCGATCTTGGAACTCAGACTCGTCCTATGACCCGGACTATTTCACCCCTATAATAAACGAGCTCATAAGGACCCGATACCCTTGTCACACGGAGAATCGTCTATGCCCGCGGGAATTCCATTGTGCCACCACTAGCGACCCTCGGTGTTCCGATTTCCCTTCCCCCGACCACACCTACTACTTCACCCACCMAGGATTCGTTAAGATCACCACCAGTTTCCCTCCTTTCCGCCTCCTTCTCCCGTATCATCAGCTCAGTGTCGTTCTGTGGCCGGCCAAGGCCCCCTATTGGCCCAATACGTTTTGCGTGAACTGCCGACGTAGCAGCGAACAGAGAACTCCGGAATTCCGAAGGCCCAACCCAGGCACACGGCGACCTGCGCCACGTGGCGGCCCCCGACGACCTAACTTTCCGGGACCGCCTCCACCATGGAGGGATTTCCCCGTAAACCGTCGCCCACAGTGCCCCGGCCCCCTCGGGCCTTGAGTCCCCTGCGCACGCGCCCCTTTTTCGCCCAATTGCATTCATATCCTTAAGACTCCCCCACTTTCCCAAAAATCCTTGGCACACCCCTTTTCGCACTTCCAGGCCCACACTCTACTCCGATCAGGAAGTCGCGCTGGGCGTGAGGTTGGGCGTCACAGTGCAGTATACACCCCCAACATCCCGTACTAAGGAACTGCTACCCCACCCTCAATCCTTGACTACATACTAGATGACCAACCCTAAGTCATAGTCTGGTATCGAACACAGGACCTCATGTGAATCGTGCAAGTGACCTAACCTGTTGACATATACTGTGAAGTAGTCTGAAGCTGTGCTCTGCTGGGCTTGAGTAAACCAGACTGTACAAACCACCCAACAGTCGTGTGACCCAACAGTCGTGTGACCACCCATAGACCAAGAACATCAGGATATCCTACCACCACCCAGTCCCGACATACAACAACCGTGAGCTACCCCTTGGGTGGTGCGCAAGCAGTGTCTGTAATTGCTAACCTGCGTCATCCCAAGGGGGTGTGTGTCCAGCCGTGCGTCAATCTAACGGCCTGCCGGTGTCCATGTGCAAGGTTGCGGATTTGAACCCGCAACCTCATACCACAATGCGCATTTCCAACCGGTGCTCTAACCACTGAGCTAACAGTGGTTGCAATTCAAAAAGAAATATAGGGGGTCAGTAATCCCAGAGTCTGCTGCAATGTTTGCAACCGGGAGTTTCAGGAATACCTGTTTCTTACCCAAACACACCCTCTTTAAAAACAACCAGTGTCAACCACCCATACCCACCCCTATACCTGGCCAACCAGACCATACCCAACTGTACCTGCTCGAAAAGTGAAAGACATGTAACCTGTACCCACCCTGCCTGAACCTCTTCATAACTTAACTGGCTATACCCACCCGTGAATTAACCACCTATGGCCACCTGTAACCAAACCGTTTGTCAGCCACCCGTACCCTATCCAGGCCATGTTTTCGTTACCTGTGCCCACACGTACCCACACGCAATTTTTGTTAACCACTCGACTCTTGCCGCCAATCGACGACACGTCACTTCTGCTGCCGCTCCTGATGCCGCTGCTGCGGATATTGATGCCTCCTGCCGAGTACTGTGTGATCACTCCTGTGACGATGAAGCCCATGGAGAATGACCAATGACGGGCGGGGACGACAACGCCGGGCGGAGACCCAACAACGGTCGGAATGAATGCGGAGCATTGCGGACCAACAACGGGCGGGAGGTGAGGTGGACCGTGGGGTAGAGGACTCCCAAATTCGATCGCGGCCGAATTCGAGGTCAGGAGGAAATCCCCCCAATTTTTTTTCCTGCCTCGGTGCAGCCTGATAAATAATTTGGGCACCTTGGTCTGGATATTTTCAAACACCAGGGAGTCGGGGACTTGGGGTGCCAGCCGAGGGGGAGGGGGGCGTGTGTTTTGTCTTCGACGCACTACCTGCTGCTACGGTTACCCGAGAGAAACTGCTACCCGCCCATACCCATACGCATTTTTTTTAACCACCCTAGACTGCACATACCCTTGTTTTTTTATTTTTTGCGCACCCATCCCTGCGTTATTGTTCTTTTCCCCGCCCCCTACCTGCCCCTCCCTACCCATTATCTCCATCTTGGCAGCTGCGCCCGCCCTCACAACGACCAATATTTTTTTTACCTGCCCATATGCCCCATACCCATTTCGCCCCTCCAGAATGGTACCCGTCCCTGTCCGCAACCCGCCTGTTTCAGTTGGGTTCGATCGGCTAACGGCATTGGTTACCTGTTTGCACTCTCTGGTCCGCTGTATTGCGATCACCCCTGGCCATTTGAGTAACGACAACAAATGTGCTGCCTCTGGTCCTTGGAGCTGGCCCTAGGGAAGATAAATGGGCCAGGTGATGGGCCGCGTTAATTTAAAAGGGGGTGGTGCTGCCAGACCACACATTTCGGTCAAGATGGCTCATCACGCTGGCCAATCGAGTGATAGGTCCCCTAACAACTTGCGCGCTGGGCCAAGAAGTGACATCAGGGGAATGGGCCTGGGGTTCTCTGTAGAGGGAGTAGAGACATTGGGGTTATGGGACATGAAAAGTTCGCCTTCGCCATCATCACCATCATCTTCCGACATGAAAAGTTTGCCTTTGTCATCATCGCCATCATCTTCCGAGTCCGTGCAAGCAGCGAGAACTTCAAAATCATCGCCGCTTGCGATCAACGCAATCGCCCTAAGGAACTGCATCAATGTCGTCGCCACCATTGCCCTAACCATCTTGCCAGGTCAGTTCCCTTCTCCATCTTCTCCTCGGGTGCGGTCAATTCGCCGTCATCGCTTAGCGTGTGTACCAGGACCCATTCGTTTTTTTTTGTCCGGTCAAGGACCCGCACTGAGACCTACTGGTTGAACACATACAGGAGTATGTAATACTTATTACCCTGTAAGGCTGTAAGCACACCACCCATCCAGCCACACCTACAATCGCCTGCCTATAGCCATACCGACAAAAACCTGCCTGACGCCACACCTACAATAGCCTGCCTATACAGCATCAAAAAGATTCCCGTACACTCACTCATGGACTGGTTGCTGCAGAACCACCCTGTCAGACTAAGTATGTCCCAGGTACCGTCTTCATCTGAACAGAACGCCCGGTTATCATAGCGGTATCTGGACTGAAAAGTGCACCAAATACGGCTCTAATGACCGGGCGTTCTATTCGGCTGAAGACGGTAGCTTAGCTATAAGCTGTATGTTGATCATTCTAATGAAACGGTTTCACTCAGTTGACCCGACTCTGCAGACACAGAGATTCGATCCCCAGACCTGTGCCCTAACCCTGTACATTGAACCTGTGTGCTGAGTGAGATTCGATCCCTAGACCTGTCCTATACCTGTACATAGACCCAGTAACCTGAGTAGGATTCGACCCCTAGACCTGCCCTGCGTCCTAGGCTAGTCTGTAGGTCGGACAGTAGGACTTGATCCCTAGGTCTGTAGATTAGGAGTTAGGACTGCTACCGCTAGGCTCAGGAAGGCCTGTTCTAGAAATCTCTATCTGCGTCTACTGAGGCCTAGAGTCTGTCTGTAAGTCTGTAGGCTCTAGAAGGTCGTAGGTCCCTGTAGGCCAGTCCAGTCAGCAAGTACCAGGGGTAGGGGCTGCACGTGGGGAAGCTTCTGGAGAACACTGTGGGTTTCACACGTTTTGGCCCAAAAGGCCAAACGTCTAAAAACTTCCTTGGGCCACACGTTTTGGCCCAGGCCCACACGTTTTGAGGCAGGCCCGGGTACCTCCAAAGAAGTATAAATAAAGAGGCAGCGTCCAGCCATCGATTCATTCGCCTGTGAGCCATGCGGAAGAGCTGCCTTGGTATCTTGTGCGTGGAGGTCTGCAGGTGCCCGGAGAGGAAGTGGGCTGTGAAGAAGACAGCGGCCATAGCGAACCAGCGAGGGAGACACCGATGGCCATAGCTAGAAGAAGGAAGACGACGGCGGCCATAGCCGCCCAGCTGTTGGTGTAGACAGAGTGTACAGAGTGTGAGTGGCTGTGCAGCGTGGACATTCAGGGTGATCCTCGTATGTGTGTGCATGCGAGAGTGTGGGAAGTGAGGCTGGTGGTAGAGACGGTGTTCGGCGGCCATAGCCGCAAGTTGTACGGCTGATTCAGATTGAGTTTAATACAAGTTTATTGTTGTTTCTGAGTTGGATTCTCAAGTGTGCATGTTGAAAGCAAGTCCAGAGTCGAGTCCGATTGCACTAATGTGGAGACTTGCCCGTCGCCCCTTGCATCACGCTTCGGCACCCCGTCGCCCCTTGCATCACGCTTAGGCACCCTCGGAGGACGTCTTACGCCGGGCCAGGCCCCGACCTGAGTTAACCTTTGGGGGAATGAAAAAAGGAAGAAGTCTTCTGGCGAACAGCTTATCCCCAGCTCACTCAAGAAAGCTAAATTGAACAAATTGAAGATTAACCAATGAAAATAACAAATGAAGTAAGAAACAAACAAATAAAAGTGATAAAAAGTCAGACTAAGTTCACAAATTTTGACAAAAAGAATACTAAGAGAATAATAAGATCAATCTTGTGCTCCACTTACCCTCGCTGCCCCTTCCCCCCCACCAACAAAGAAAAAGACAAAACGAGCTCATACCACCGTTATCGGCAAGGGATATTTGTTTACCGTGATTTGACATCTGAATCGTGATCTAATCATTTTTTTATTCTCCCCCGCTCCCCCCCTCCTCCCCCCCCTCCTCTCCCCCCTCCTCCTTCCAATGCAAAGCTCAAATATACCTCACTTGCCAGGTGCTCATCAACCCCCTGCTGTCCCTCCCCCCCCCATCATCCCCCAGTTGCCACCACAAATAAAAAAAACAACAGGAAACTGCTCAGCATGTGGGGAAACACTTCTTTTTTTTTTTTGGTGCAGGGGCCATGGTAATCTTCTCTGCATCGTTCCAATTTTAACAGATGTCCTGAAGGACATGTGGGGAAATACTTACCTCCATGCCATACTTGAGAAATTTGTCTGCCCTTCCATCTGTGTCAATATATTGCAAGCAGAACGTCGCCTCACGGATCAATGCCTGCGCATGGACTAAAGTCACCTGGCACCACTTAACTCCTCCAGAGCCAAGGTCGTTCTTCAGGACCTTCTCAAGCTGAGAAAGATCCTTTTGGACCACGGCTATTATCTTCAGCAGACGTGGAACATCCCGTCTCGACCTTGCATCCCTGCAATGCAGTCATCATCATCTCGTCAGAAATATAGAGAGGTCCTCTCCTCCTCCCTTACTCCCTCTTCTCCTTCATCCCTGATTACCTTCAGCCGACCAGGAACATCCCATCTTGAACTTACATCCCTGCAATGCAGACATCATCATCTCGTCAGAATGTCTGCATTGCAGGGATGAGAGGTCCTCTCCTCCTCTTCTTTCCAGGGCCCGTGTGGGAAGGGCCATGTGTACCACAATCCCCTTCCCCTCCTTTCCTGTTGCTGTCTCCACCCTCCCCTTCCATCCCTCTTCTCCTTATTCCCCTCCTTCCTTCATCGACAACCCTTCCACTTCTCCTTCCGCTCAGTCAGTCCATCTTCCCCTCCTCCTCTTATTCCCCCCCCTTGTGGTTACCCTCCTCCTCTCTGCCCAATTCCTCTTAGCCATTCTCTCCTGCCCCTCGTCTCTCTCCCTCTTGTCGTTCTCCACCTGCTCCTTCCCTCCTCCCCTCCTCTTTTTCCCTCCTTGTCGTTCGCCACCCGCTTACCCTCCTCTCCACCTCTTTCCCCTCAGCCATTCTCCCCCTCCCCTCGTCTCTCTCCCTCTTGTCGTTCTCCACCTGCTTCCACTCCTCCCCCGCCCCTTCCGCTCCTCCATTCCCTCCTCCCCCTCCTCCCTTCCCTCGTCTGTCTCCTTCTTCTTCTCATTGAGTTACAGTCCAGGGCTTGGCCAAAAGAAGTGTGCCACTGATTGTGATGATATGCCACAGTGGTGCCATGATGGTGAAACCGGTAGGGTCCTACGCCAAGCGGAAGCTTTGACTTCTGCCTTTGTGCTCTACGACTATTTTTTCGAAATGCAAGTCGTGTTCAGGGACATCGTCTACTGGTTTATTGTGTATCTGGTCGTCCTGTCCTTCCCTTCTCCCTTCTTGTTCCCTTTTTCTTGCTGACGTCCACTGTGGTTCAAGCTGTGTCAACCCCCATCACTGTTGAATGCTATAAGCATATTTAATGGTGGAGGGGGCGTGCCATTCACCTCCATGTGAGTGGGGGTAGACTCCGTGGCTGCGTGTATCATCAAATGATCACCCTGTCATCAAATGAAGGCGGGCCTGCATTTCTCCACGAGGCCTAAACTTTTGACATTTTCAGCGCCTTCGGGGCCGCCAGACGGTTACTGGTCGCCGGTTGGTTGAAGGCCCCAGCACGGTACGCAACCGCGACATCCTGAGCCTTCTAGGCTCATCCAGGCTCGGCGTGGAAGCAGGCCTCTCGGCATATCAGGACGCAGCAAGTCAGGCAAAAGCCACGTCGCACGGTTGGGCTCATCTAACTGATTCCGTGCCGGGCCGGTCCCGGACTTGCTATCTAGATTGGGCCTGGGCGCAGACACTTTGCCCAACGTGACGCTACTGGGCGCACGGTCGCCAGGCCCAGGCTGCCAGCACAGGCAAGCACTTTCCATATAGGAAAGTGCCCGGCTGCTCGCCCGCCATTCATTCGGGCACTTTGTGAGCTGCGGCAGCGCTGCTGGTATTATAGCGCTCACAGGCTGCTAGCAGGAGAGGCCTGGGTGCACGCGGGCGCAGGTGATGAAGGTGGGTGCTGCTGGAGGCAGAGCCCCCAGTCTCCAGCCGTAGCCGGGCTTGGGGACAAGGGCGAGCGGGGTATGGCAGTGGTCTTCGCATGGAGGGACGAGCGTGGGCTTGAAGACGAGGGTGAGCTGAGAGAGGGAAAGAGCAAATACGTACCTGGTTCGTCGTAGAGGTCTGCATGGGCGACATCTGCACATGCTTTGGTTCCTGCTGCTAAAGTCTTCCTGTTGAATTGTCATTAGTATAGGCTAGTATTGGAGCTGGGTGATCGTGGTCTGGGCGCTGAGCGCCAAGTAGGAGAAGAGACATTGAGCGCATTGTTGATGGGTGCGAGGCAAGGGCTGACGTTGACAATGGAGTTCGTTGTTTTGGTCTCCTTCGGTGTGATATCGGTGCATTTCTGCTTTCTGGACAGCTCACGACTATCTGGCTTTCAATGTGATGTCGCAATTTGGAATTCAGTCTATTCTATCATTTTGCTCTTGCTCATTGTCCTTGCAAATCCAAAAAAAAAAAAAAAAAAAAAAAAAAAAAACTTGCATTGGACCTTGAACGGGACCTTTGGCCCACAACCCAGGGTTCTTTTTTTGAAAAATTTTCAAAAGAAAAATTGGACTCTTTCTCGATTTATGCATGTCATCCTCGTGCAAGGGCCATGCTAATTAGTAATTACTAATTACCCTTCTCTGTATCGCTTGAACTTCAACAGATGTTGCAAAAGGACTTTTTAACTTTCCTTTTTTTTCTCTTTTTTTTTTTAACCCATAGCTTCTTTTTCTATATTTTTTTGGTTATCTTGACCAGTTGCATGCACCAGCGACATTTCGGTCCCAAACACCCAACAGAATGTTCACTTTTCCAGCATGTACGATCAAATCACGAATTGCATCGATTGAAAATTTGAAATAGAAAAGACAGAAAAAAAAGGGACCAGACATGCAGCAGACTTTTTTTTTTCTCTCTCTCAAAATTAAAAAAGCAGACAGGATATAATAAGACAATCACAGAACAACGAATGGAAAAAAAA